CGACCGTATTTCTGATCCTCAGAATCAACTTTCCGCTTTTTGCAACTAAGTAGTGACTACGAAGCAGTTTGGTTCTTACAATCAGAAAGTCGATCGTCCCACAAGCTACTAGAATTTCTGGTCGTAGTAATCAACTTCTGATTACGACAACTAATTATTTTTTTCCGTGCACTTCTACGATACACCACCATAGTGGTAGGGATCGTCTAGAAGGTAGGCCCGTTTTCCTCAGATTCATTAGGTAACTACGGGAGCTCAGCGCCTGCGGGACGCAGGGTAGGCCTCCCCGCAGTACACACATGCGCTGCAGGCCAGATGTTGCCTACCTAGTAGGCGCCATGAGGGCCTGCTGAGGCTGAACTTTGGCAACTACGTGATGGCGAATGACGGACCGACTCACTGGATGATCCATCACCCTTGCGCTTACGAGAGCGGGAGGCTTTTAAAAACTTCAGGTGCACCTTGCATTCATAATGTCGTGGGGCATCAAGTCGCAACGCATATTTCTATGCTATTGTCGGCTATACACCCGAAAAATACCATTACAGTTGCGTTCAACTAATTGGAAGATTTGACAGTAGCCTCTTTACAAAATTTTGTAACACGCTGATTTCTTTGTTTCCACGAAAAACCCCGTTTTCGGTAAAGTAGCCTCGTACTTCGTGTATCGCAGCAAGCACTCCAGTGTTGCGGGTTTCTGCATACAGTATATTCCATTCCAGGGGCCGCATGGAGGTGCTTTACGCAGAGTATGGAAGTAAGTAGGCATACCCCCAACATTGGGAGTTTTTGTTTTGATACACTGGGGCTTTAGTTTAGAAGTTCGTTTTTGGTTTCGTATAGCAGGAACTTGGCCCGTGTCCAAACTTATAAAATAAATCATTTCGATATTAATTAGCAGCCCTCGATACTTTTCCTTCCTCTCTGTACCTCCGCGAGTGCGTCCGAGCGGCGCGCCTCCCCTTAGTAATATCGACGATATCTGCCGCCTCCTGGCCCTTCCATTATTATGCCAACTTTTCTCCACGCGGCGCGGATCTTAAAGAATGAGATTTTGTCTCGCTGGGCAGATCCTTTCGAGGAACACGACGAGAAGGGAGACCGGCCGCGGCAGGAGTGCAGGGAGAGAGAGAGAAGGGCGGGGGAAAAAATGTTCCACCCCGCATAATCTCCACCAACTTCCCTCCGGGATTATGCAGAATCCCGTGTTTGGAGTCTTTAGGTCGGAGGGTCTGGCCGATTCCTCCTCATGGCAACAGCCAGTGCCGGGGGTGCGGCGGGCTGGGGCGGGGCGTGTCATGCACCGCCTCATCTCCTTTGCGACTCGGAATCTGCAGCGAGCAGCAAAACTGCTTTACATTACGAGGGCGCAAAGGCGTGCTTACATAAACCGCAGAAGCGAAACAGAGGAAAATAAAAAGACGCCAGACACTTGCCGCGTGGTATCGTTTGTCTGCCAGGACCTCGGTCAGGACACCGCGTCACGCGGAAACGATTTTAAGCTCGTGCCAACGATTCCGTTCCACACACTACACGCAGACGCTGACCTTAACCTTAAGTGCCCACCAAGGATGACCCTCGCCCCCACGCACTGCTGGGGGTCGACGGGCGTGCGGAGCTGGCCTCCGCCGCTGTGGCTCACCGGCCCCATCCGGATGCCGGCTGCCTGGCCCCAGCATGACCTCCCCCTGCCCCTGGAGGAGCCGGGCGGCCGTCTGCCGGACGAGTGACGCATCTTTAATGCGCCCCTGGGGGTGCGGGGGCGGTAGGGCCGGTATAGGTGGTCGTGCAGGGCCCGGCTGCTCCAAAGGGCCGACGGCCGAGGGGCAAGGGAGGGTGGCTACGGCTGCAAAGGTGGCTGCGGTGGATTTGAGCCGTGCCCCCCCCCCCTCCGCATACCCCCTTCCTCCGTCTTTTCTCTTCCTCTCTCCCCACTCCAACGTGATTGCCCGGTGAATAGCGCTTGTCCGCGGGCAGGACAGAGTCCACCGGCCTGCAGAAACCGAGCGAGGAGCGAGGGACGGTTTCTGCCTGTCAAATCCCCCCCACCTCTCTCTCTCTCCCTCTCTCGCTCTCTCTCTCCCTTCCTCTCTGTCTGTCGCTCGCTCTTCCTCGCCCACCAACCGGTACCCCGCTAACGAGCTACTTCACAACACTCGCCCGGGGGACCTAAAAGCGACCACACCACACGACGCGCGCGATACGGCGCTTTGTCGAGGGTGGCTGCAGCGCGGCTATATACGCAGCAGGCCTGCAGGCC